TCTAAAGGTATCTTAACCTGGGAAGTTCTGCACAAACTATACCTTGTTCGGAAGCTTGTGTGTAAGGCCAACAAGCTGGCAAAAGGACAGGTTTGAAACCCAGTGGTTGCGGAGAAAAATTCAAGATATAGCGCATCAATGCCAGTAGTACCCATATGTGCAGTCAGTCTAACAGCAATGCCTGCAAGCGCCCGCCGACACGAACTTCGTATATCGCGGTCTAAAGGTACCTTAACCTGGAAGTTCTGCACAAACTATACCTTGTTCGGAAGCTTGTGATGAGGCCAACAAGCTGGCAAAAGGACAGGTCTTGAAACCCAGTGGTTGCGGAGAAAATTTAAGATATAGCGCATCAATGCCAGTAGTACCCCTATGTGCAGTCAGTCTAACAGCAATGCCTGCAAGCGCCCGCGACACAACTTCGTCTATCGCGGTCTAAAGGTACCTTAACCTGAGAAGTTCTGCACAAAACTATACCTTGTTCGGAAGCTTGTGATGAGGCCAACAAGCTGGCAAAAGGAAGGTCTTGAAACCAGTGGTTGCACGGAGAAAAATCAAGATATAGCGCATCAATGCCAGTAGTACCCTATGTGCAGTCAGTCTACAGCAATGCCTGCAAGCGCCCGCGACACGAACTTCGTATATCGCGGTCTAAAGGTACCTTAACCTGGGAAAGTTCTGCACAAACTATACCTTGTTCGGAAGCTTGTGATGAGGCCAACAAGCTGGCAAAAGGACAGGTCTTGAAACCAGTGGTTGCGGAGAAAATTTAAGATATAGCGCATCAATGCCAGTAGTACCCCTATGTGCAGTCAGTCTAACAGCAATGCCTGCAAGCGCCCGCGACACGAACTTCGTATATCGCGGTCTAAAGGTACCTTAACCTGAGAAGTTCTGCACAAACTATACCTTGTTCGGAAGCTTGTGATGAGGCCAACAAGCTGGCAAAAGGACAGGTCTTGAAACCAGTGGTTGCGGAGAAAATTTAAGATATAGCGCATCAATGCCAGTAGTACCCCTATGTGCAGTCAGTCTAACAGCAATGCCTGCAAGCGCCCGCGACACGAACTTCGTATATCGCGGTCTAAAGGTACCTTAACCTGAGAAGTTCTGCACAAACTATACCTTGTTCGGAAGCTTGTGATAAGGCCAACAAGCTGGCAAAAGGACAGGTTGAAACCAGTAATTGCAGAGAAAATTAAGATATAGCGCATCAATGCCAGTAGTACCCTATGTGCAGTCAGTCTAACAGCAATGCCTGCAAGCGCCCGCGACACGAACTTCGTATATCGCTGTCTAAAGGTACCTTAACCTGGGAAGTTCTGCACAAACTATACCTTGTTCGGAAGCTTGTGATGAGGCCAACAAGCTGGCAAAAGGACAGGTCTTGAAACCCAGTGGTTGGGAGAAAATTTAAGATATAGCGCATCAATGCCAGTAGTACCCCTATGTGCAGTCAGTCTACAGCAATGCCTGCAAGCGCCCGCGACACGAACTTCGTATATCGCGGTCTAAAGGTATTTAACCTGGGAAGTTCTGCACAAACTATACCTTGTTCGGAAGCTTGTGATGAGGCCAACAAGCTGGCAAAAGGACAGGTTTTGAAACCCAGTGTTGCGGAGAAAATTTAAGATATAGCGCATCAATGCCAGTAGTACCCCTATGTGCAGTCAGTCTAACAGCAATGCCTGCAAGCGCCCGCGACACGAACTTCGTATATCGCGGTCTAAAGGTACCTTAACCTGAGAAGTTCTGCACAAACTATACCTTGTTCGGAAGCTTGTGATGAGGCCAACAAGCTGGCAAAAGGACAGGTTTGAAAACCCAGTGGTTGCGGAGAAAATTTAAGATATAGCGCATCAATGCCAGTAGTACCCCTATGTGCAGTCAGTCTAACAGCAATGCCTGCAAGCGCCCGCGACACGAACTTCGTATATCGCGGTCTAAAGGTACCTTAACCTGGGAAGTTCTGCACAAACTATACCTTGTTCGGAAGCTTGTGATGAGGCCAACAAGCTGGCAAAAGGACAGGTCTTGAAACCCAGTGGTTGCGGAGAAAAATTAAGATATAGCGCATCAATGCCAGTAGTACCCCTATGTGCAGTCAGTCTAACAGCAATGCCTGCAAGCGCCCGCGACACGAACTTCGTATATCGCGGTCTAAAGGTACCTTAACCTGAGAAGTTCTGCACAAACTATACCTTGTTCGGAAGCTTGTGATGAGGCCAACAAGCTGGCAAAAGGACAGGTTTTGAAACCCAGTGGTTGCGGAGAAAATTTAAGATATAGCGCATCAATGCCAGTAGTACCCCTATGTGCAGTCAGTCTAACAGCAATGCCTGCAAGCGCCCGCGACACGAACTTCGTATATCGCGGTCTAAAGGTACCTTAACCTGGGAAGTTCTGCACAAACTATACCTTGTTCGGAAGCTTGTGATAAGGCCAACAAGCTGGCAAAAGGACAGGTTTTGAAACCAGTGGTTGCGGAGAAAATTTAAGATATAGCGCATCAATGCCAGTAGTACCCCTATGTGCAGTCAGTCTAACAGCAATGCCTGCAAGCGCCCGCGACACGAACTTCGTATATCGCGGTCTAAAGGTACCTTAACCTGGGAAGTTCTGCACAAACTATACCTTGTTCGGAAGCTTGTGATGAGGCCAACAAGCTGGCAAAAGGACAGGTCTTGAAACCAGTGGTTGCGGAGAAAATTAAGATATAGCGCATCAATGCCAGTAGTACCCTATGTGCAGTCAGTCTAACAGCAATGCCTGCAAGCGCCCGCGACACGAACTTCGTATATCGCGGTCTAAAGGTACCTTAACCTGAGAAGTTCTGCACAAACTATACCTTGTTCAGAAGCTTGTGATGGGGCCAACAAGCTGGCAAAAGGACAGGTCTTGAAACCCAGTGGTTGCGGAGAAAATACAAGATATAGCGCATCAATGCCAGTAGTACCCTATGTGCAGTCAGTCTAACAGCAATGCCTGCAAGCGCCCGCGACACGAACTTCGTATATCGCGGTCTAAAGGTACCTTAACCTGGGAAGTTCTGCACAAACTATACCTTGTTTGGAAGCTTGTGATGAGGCCAACAAGCTGGCAAAAGGACAGGTCTTGAAACTCAGTGGTTGCGGAGAAAATTTAAGATATAGCGCATCAATGCCAGTAGTACCCCTATGTGCAGTCAGTCTACAGCAATGCCTGCAAGCGCCCGCGACACGAACTTCGTCTATCGCGGTCTAAAGGTACCTTAACCTGAGAAGTTCTGCACAAACTATACCTTTCGGAAGCTTGTGATGAGGCCAACAAGCTGGCAAAAGGACAGGTCTTGAAACACAGTGGTTGCTGAGAAAATTTAAGATATAGCGCATCAATGCCAGTAGTACCCCTATGTGCAGTCAGTCTAACAGCAATGCCTGCAAGCGCCCGCGACAGAACTTCGTATATCGCGGTCTAAAGGTACCTTAACCTGGGAAGTTCTGCACAAACTATACCTTGTTCGGAAGCTTGTGATAGGCCAACAAGCTGACAAAAGGACAGGTCTTGAAACTCAGTGGTTGCTGAGAAAATTTAAGATATAGCGCATCAATGCCAGTAGTACCCCTATGTGCAGTCAGTCTAACAGCAATGCCTGCAAGCGCCAGCGACACGAACTTCGTATATCGCGGTCTAAAGGTACCTTAACCTGAGAAGTTCTGCACAAACTATACCTTGTTCGGAATTTGTGATAAGGCCAACAAGCTGGCAAAAGGACAGGTCTTGAAACTTAGGGTTGCGGAGAAAATTTAAGATATAGCGCATCAATGCCAGTAGTACCCCTATGTGCA